AAAAAAAAAAAAAAAAAAAACAACCTAACATTCCCAGATTCCCACAGCCAGATATGTCAGCTACACAGTGCCTATCTATAGTATGCACCCACGGAGTCACAAACGAGAAAACAATCTTCTGGCAAGCACGGCAGCAACATTTTTCTATTCTTCTCTATCAGGATCGGCAGGCATCTGACCTCCAATTTTAAGTGTCAGAGGTTCCCCGTGGAAGAAGCAGTGTTACCTTGGTTGTATGGTTGGCCAAGAGCCTACAGGGAGCCTGGTTCACCAATCAGTGAGCCTGGTTCACCTCATTCAGTCTCCCAATATACTTTAATTCCTTGAACTAGCTAAATCTAATTCTGTAGTTTCCAATGCTATAAATACATTAATAATTTTTTTTTAAACTGCCTGCCAGCCTTGAGCTCCTCAGCCCCCGTGGCTGCAAGAGTGGGGAAAAGCTTCCAGCCTGAAGCGGAAAAGCCTCCAGCTTGACGTTTGATCCAGGAACTTTGGACTTGCCAGCTTCTGTAAGTGTGTGAGCCATTTTCCTAAGATAAATTTTTTTATATACACATATATGCAAGCTTTGCTGGTTTTGTTTCTGTAGAGAACCCAGTCTAACACAAGAGTCTTCTCCTGTTTGCTGACCCTCTACTTTACCAAGTATGACATCCTTCCTTAGGGCCTACCTTCTAATAATTTGCCCAAAGTACATGAGACAAAATCTGGCCACTCTCAATTTTAAGGAGCATTCTGGCTGTACTTCTTCTAAGACAGATTTGTTTGTTCCTCTGGCAGTCCATGGTATTTTCAGTACTTTTTTGCCAACATCACAAATCAAATGCATCAATTTTTCTTCTGTCTTCCTTATTCATTGTCCAGCTTTCACATGCATATAAGGCTATTGAAAAAACAGAGCTTGGTTCAGGCACATCTTAGCCTTCAAAGTGACATCTTTGCTCTTTAATGCTTTTAAGAGGTCTTTTGCAGCAGATTTGCTCAGTGTAATATGATGTCTGATTTCTTGATTGCTGCTTCCATGGGTGTTGATAGTGGATCCAAGGAAATCAAATGTCTTCAATCTTATTTCTCCATTTATCATGATGTTGTTTATTGGTCCAGTTGTGATGATTATTGTTTTCTTTATGTTGAGGTATAATCTATACTGAAGGCTGTAGTCTTTGATCTTCATTAGTAAGTGTGTCAAGTCTTTTCACTATGAGTAGGAATCAACTTGATTACAGTGGGTTTCACAGGAATACATTCATATAGGTTATAAAATAATAAACATACCCAGTTTGGAGTCTAAAATAAAGTTCAAGATCTTTAAAATGGCATACAGTGTTTTGTATTACCTGACTCCAACCTACCTTTTCTACATCTTCAGCCTCACATCTTGCACTTTAACTTGTAATTACATTTTCATGTTGACAACCTCTGTCTTTGATCAAGCTACGCACTCTGCCTATCTGACTAGCCCAATCTTACTTACTATGACTTAACTGTAGCATCCCAACTTCTAGAAAATGCTTTATTCTCTATTTTCTGGATGAATTAGGTAGCCCTCTTCTGGAATGTCATAATACCATGTAAATACCTCTAGACTTAATCACCACGTTGTTTTTCAAGTCTACAAATAGATATAATAGATCATTAGGTTGTAAGTTTCCTAAGCACAGAGCTGTGAGTTAATTTTCTTTGAATCTTTACTATTTAGGGTGACACCTAACACATACTTGTTGAGTTAGTCTTGAATTTTATTGACATGAAGAAAAATGTAATTACTGAGGTAATCTCTCATGCTTATATAAGTTTGTAAAGGAATAAATAGCTCTATATACTGTATATTCAAAGAGTAAAATTAAACATAAAAGTAAATTTTCTAATTAGTAATTTTAAGGTTATTAGTTCTTTGAGAAGGAGCTCTGGTAGCATAGTGGCTAAAAGCACTTGACTGCTAACCAGAAGGCTGGTGGTTCAAACCCACCAGCCACTCCTCGGAAGGAAGGTTGGGCAATCCTACTTCCGTAGTGATACTGCCTCGGAAACCCAAGGAGGGGTCGCTATGAGTCGGGGCCAACTCGACGGCACATAACAACAACAACAACAACAATTTCTTTGAGAAGGAGATAGATAATGATATTTCTAATTACAGCCTCTACCAATGGAAATTTTAATATCAGTGGATATAAAGTTAAATGCATCAACTAGAATCACAGCAACTACTTGTTTTAAAACCATAAAATATCAAATGGACACAATTTCTTTGTGATTAAAATATATACATAAATTATTCTGAAATAAGATAAAAAGTTCCAATTTGTCAATAAAAAATAAAAATATAATGTATTATCTACCTTAAAGGTTGGGCAATCTACTTCCATAGTGATACTGCCTCGGAAACCCAAGGAGGGGTCACTATGAGTCAGGTCTGACTTGATGGCACACAACAACAACAACAACATCTACCTAAAAAATACAAAATTTTATTTATCTATTTGAAGTGGAAGCAGAGTATTATGGAAAGGTAGTGAGATCGGTGAGTGGAAGACAACCCAGCACCCAGGCAGGGTACTTCAGTTCCAAATCACAAGAATAGAGAAGAGTATTTTATTGGATGGAATAAACAAAGGGATACATGCCAGGCATGAGGGGAATACATGATAAAAGGTTGCAAGATATTGATGGCATGGATGGAATTGTGTCCCTTCAAAATGTATCAACTTGGCTGGGCCACGATTCTCAGCAGATTGACAGTTATGGAATGATATAATATGGCAGTTATGTAATGATGTAATCATCCCTCATGATGTGATCTGATGTGACAGGATTAAGGTGGGATGCAACACTCTTAATCAGGTTACAACCCTGATCCCTTGTAGAAGAATTTCCCTGGGGTGTGACGTACATCACCTTTTATCTTAAGAAGCTCCTGGACCAAGGGGATGTCCAAGACACATGGAGATCTTCATGAAATGCCAAGCCAACAGATATTGAAAGGAGACAAGGACCTTTCCCCAGAGACAACAGAAAGAGAAAGTATTTCCCTAGAGCTGGTGCCCTGGATTCAGACTTCTACCCTCCTAAACTGTGAGAGAATAAATTTCTGTTTGTTAAAGCTACGCACTTGTGCTATTTCTGTTATAGAGATACTAGACCTAAGATTGTTGATAAACTGTAATTTTTCTTAACATTATCATTTCTATTTTCTCCTGGAGCATATTGACCAAAGTATTCTTCTTGGATTAAGTCACACAAACACTCTAGACAAATATCTTTTAACAGACAATTTCTAGCATA